CAGGGAATCATAGAATCCTGGAATGGTTTGGATTGAAAGGGACCTTAAAGCACATCTTGTTCCAATCCCCTGCCATGGGCGGGGACGCTATCCCCTAGACCAGGTTGGTTCAAGCCCCACCCAAAGAAAAACATCTCCTCTTGAGATGATTATCACCCAGAACCTGCCCCATCAGCAGCCTGGACACTGTCAGTTCAGTGGCTCTCAGTAGAATTTAATATCCTTAGAAGAGATAAATGTCTCAGCAGCAAAGGCTGATTTATTTGCTGAAGGGGAATGAGCTGCCACAGGGGCAGTGTCAGGCACAGTGACTGCTCCTTTGTTTTGAGGTCTGGGGGGCCAAGCTGACCCCCAACACCCTGATCTGTCCCCAGGGTTTGGTGTGGAAGGGCCAAGTGGCCCTACTTTTGCCAGGATGGAAGGCAGTTATCAGCAGAAGGGAGATGAGACAGGATTTAGTTTCCTAGAAACCCCTCCTTGTGACACCCAGGTGTCTTCTTTATGCAGCACCCACCTATTCACAGGGAAAAAGGCAGCTCAGAGTTTGGGAGTTCGTGTCTCCTGGTCTGGGCTGAGAGGATGGAGCATCCTTGGTGCATCCCTTGGGGCAGCCCCTCTGGCCAGACCACCAGCCCTGTGCTGAAGGCTGCAGAATTACAATATTTTGTCAATTGCTCCATCTAGTGCCATTTCAGGAGAAAAAGCATCAGGAGTACAACACTCAGAGCCGCTGCAGCCGCCACGCTGGGGCCTGGGCAGCTTTCCCTGGCTTGTGTATGGAGTGATTCCATGAGGATGTGCCAGGTCCCAGCCCTGGTCTAGCTCTTTCCTTGCAGACCCAGAGCCAAGAGTCTTTGCTTGCTTTATCCTATTTCTCTCATCCTTCTCAAAATGGGACTATAAACCCTTACAGGGAAACATCTGTCCTGGAAAACATAACATTCTTTATGAGCATTTTCAATTATTAAGAAATCCCTTAGATTGGATGGGGCTTGGAGCAACCTGGTCTAGTGGAAGGTGTCCCTGCCCATGGCAGGGGATTGGAATGAGATGAGCTTTAAGGTACCTTCCAACTCAAACCATTCTGGGATTCTGTGAGTCTAAATGAAGATGGAATAGTTTATGCTGCCATTGCATATTTTTCTTTTCTGTGCAGGAATTGGGAATAAACTCTGCTTCAACCCCACCAGACCTGGGAAAGCAGCAGAGCCCTCAGAGGCCGCTTGGAAAAGTCTAAAACCAAAGTCAAGGTGATCCTTGTTCCTTTTCCATTTGGGATGCTGCAGAACACAGATCTCTCTGATTTGTTGCCACCCTAAAAGGTCCAGCTCTCACAGGAACGTGCACACTAGGGAACAAAATGTCCATTGCTCCTAAGAGGGACAACAAGGACTGTGACAGTGTTTAACTAGGACGTAAATACAGCTGAATTATGGACACTGATGTGTGAAGCCGTGGAGAAAGATGATAATGGAATTATGTATCAATGCTCAGCACACCTGTAAAACCTGATGTTTTATACATGTGTGACATTAAATTAATTCATTGCAGTTCTTTCAGGCAAAGGGACATTAACTGCTCCATCTCAGCATAATCACATTACCTCAACAGGCTCTACGTATGTCACGCTTCCAGGGTGGTAATCGCCATGTGATTAATTACAGGGAATTTAGAGGCATTACAGTAATTCCTTATGGAGCAGCATAATGTGAGAGAGTCTCTCCAAGTTGACCTGCTGACCCCATCAGCCCACCCACCACCACGATGGTCCACATCACTGCCCCGAGCACCGACTTGGGCTGCACTCCACAGGTGCTTCCAAAGCTCAGTGCTTGGCTGAAGGGATCATACCTGGACAGATGACATCCCCTGGCAAGCTCACATGGTGGGGAGGACACAAAAACAGCAGCTCAATCCCAGCCTTTGGAAGAAGTCTAAACATCAGCATAACTTGGTTATGAGTTGACCAAGAAGTGCAAGCAGCCCTAAGATGGCTCCTGGTGATCTCAATGATGTCCTTGATGGTGTCATTGTGAACTGCAGCTTCTCCAGATGAGGAAGCTGATGCAGGAACTGTGAACAGCACCTGGGCCTTCTGAAAGTAAAGGCTCTGACAGCTGAGTCTGCAAACCAAAGCAGAAGAACCCTTAGGATGAGAGGAGACAGCCTCAAGTTGTGCCAGAGGAGGTTCAGATTGGATATCAGGGAAATTTTCTTCACAAAAAGGGTTGTCAAGGCTGCCTAGGGCAGTGGTGGAGTCCCTATCCCTGGAGGGATTCCAAAGCCATGTAGATGTGACACACCCAGGGACATGGGTTAGTGGTGGACTTGGCAATACTGGGGGAACAGTTGGATTTAGAAGGCTCTTCCAACCTAAATGACTCTGTGATTCGACGTATCAATTAAAATAGTGTTTGAATGGCACCTTTGAGGGGCTGCAAGATGCCTGTGGTACAGATGCTCCTCCTGTGAGCATTCTTTGCGTTGATTTTGATTCCTCCTGGCACAATTATGATCAGGCAGCACCTTCATCTTCATCCCCCAGTTTTGCTGCCTCCACCATACCCTCAGTCTCCCACCTGAGCTGTTCTTGGTGTCCCCGTGATTAAAAACTAACCTAGATGGGTGGCTGTAGATTCCTGACGGAGGACAGGTGTGCAGGGATAGCTCCATGTGATCATCTCAGTTGGGAACAATCCTTCTACCTGGCGCCACTGTCTCTCATTGCTCTGACAGTGACCACTGCTCCTGCTCCCTGAGAAAAGCAATCACAGCCCTACTTGGAACAGCAAAGAAAGACATCTCATGCAACAGCTCTTAACAATGATTAAATTAAAAAAAATAAATAATGTAAGTGCGCAACTACTTACGTAACCGAGCTTTATTTAGAATCTTTGAAGTCATAAAACGTCTCATTTTACTGATATACATAAACATACAATCAGGAGGTTTAATTGCTGTTTTCCCTTGCGCAGAAATAAAGTTTTAAACAAACCAGAACACCTCACCCCAGACAAGCGTAATGCAAATTTAATTATCTGACTTGGTCCTGTACATGGCGCACACGCTTCTCCGCATGGTCACTGGTTTATCAATTAGTCGCAAGATAACTTTTGGCAGTAATATATTTAACACACAAAGTGCAAATTACAAGAAGCAGAAAATGTTCTCTCTCCTTCTGAGCAACGAGAAGTGCAAAATATCTCAGCCCATAAATTCTATTATTTATGTATATGAACTGTATGTGCATCATGGGCTAATAAGTAGCCATCTAAAACTTCATTGATCAAATGTGGCAACATCCTAAAGTTGGAATGCAACAGCTATAAAAACACAGGACGGAGGAATCATTCCCTTTGGTTGATAAATTCCATACGCTTTCTGAGGATATCTCTTCACACCTCACCTTTAACTCCTGCATACCCTGGATACTTCTGCAACCAAAGGCAGTTTGTTAAAAATTCCCCCAATTTGCTACATCTGAAGATATTTCTGTGCATCTACAATCAAGATTCCACTAACACTTCACTTGGCAAATCATATAGGACAGTGGGAATCCATAGAAAACAAGAAGTCTCTTCCAGGCACTATCAAGGGAATACCCACCAATGGTTCCAGCAGGCTAAATGCACTTTGTGATTACCTAAAGTTATGGAAAACTTTCCAAAGAAATAAGGAAAATCCTTTTCCATGACAGCTAATTGCAGCATCCCTGTCTCACTGTAGTTCACCTCACTTCAGGACCTGTCCTGGGATGTAAAATTGGGAAAAAACCACTAAAACACACAGAACAACTGTACCTTTAACACACCCCTGCATCACTCAGTTATTATAGTGCAGATTTTGAATCTTCTATCCATTTAATTCCTGGAATTTTTCACACAAAATGAGCAGCCAATTCTGACCCCGCCTCCCCTATCATTTCTCCCAGCTACATCATAATTATAAATTATACCAAATAGTCCAAATCAAACTGGGCTGCTTCCTCCAAAACCCTCCTGCTCCTCTGGATGGGGAGATTAACCCACAATGCCTTGCACTGCCATGAATGTGCCTGCCAAATTCATTTGCTCAGTCACTAAGGCCACGGTCATATAATCACTGCAGGAATAGCTGTGACACAGAATGAAGCTGCTAATTTTTGGATGAGCATTCCTGCATCCCACCTCCATATTGAGACTGGTTCAGAGCAGGACCAGCCTTGGGAAGGCTTCTGGGCTTCAGCACACTGAACCTGGCTTAGCTTAAACCCAAAATATAGCTGGGGGCTTTGACTGCACTGTCCAGCTTGCTGGAGGGGGCTGAGGAACATCAACCTGAACTGCCACAGCCAGCTTTGGGAGATCATCTCATCACTGCCGAACTCCAGCAGCCCAAGAGCAAAGCATCCTCTGTGATCTGTGAAAACCTCTTCCTGCTCTATCTGATCCTGGGGAAACCCTTGGAAATGTCAGTTTTCTGGTTTGGATGAACTTCACAGAGCCTTAAAGACAACGTGCAGAGGCACTGCTCACCACCATTCCTGGAATTACGAGATCACATTCCCGAAGCAAACTTTTTGTCTTCATTGAAGTTTCAGGATGAACAATTATGCTGCGACTTGGCACGACAACAACTGCCTTTGTATGCGACATGCCTGGCATATATCAGCACATTTCTTCTTAAAAAAATATAATTAGAATAGAATGAGCTACGCTGTTGTTGTTCATGCTGCCTAAATATCTGAAAAGGCTCAAACATTTTAAAAGCCTACAAAAATAAATTTCCCTCTCCCCTCGTTTATTTTTCATGCTAAAGGCTGCAAATTGACACATCACAGTAATTACCCCTGACTAACTTCCACAGACCTACCCAAAGAGATAAACATGAGAAGTTCACATTTGACTATCAGACTTACTGTGCCGAGCACAAATAATTTCCCAGAGGAGAATTTGATATTTCATCATTTGGAACAGTGGTAATTTAATTACATTGCTAATGTTTTCTGGCATACTTGAAAGAACAATTAGCATAAGTAAATCATGAGTGAGATGACAAGTCACTCGGCATTTATTTCTGCTCATCAGATGAGATCAGTTGATGATCTAAATTCTCTTTTGTGTGTGAACTGATTCCAGGTTCAGCAGTTGCAACCAGGGTTCAGACTAGTGGGGATAAACTGATGCATTAAATAAAGTAAAACGGATATTGTTCTTTGAAGTTTCTTAATTAAACTTGTCCAGAGAAACCTCAAAAGCCACCAGAAGTCGGGGAGGGCGGGGAGAAAGGCTGATAAATGTGGAAGGCTAAATGAAGCTGGAGATTCACACTACCCTGCCTGGCAACGGGGGGAACACTGACTCATTTTTGCCAGGGTTTGCTTTACATCAGGGCTGAGCAGGGTTATTATAGCTCTACCAATGCTCTAAAATAATTGTATTTATCTCCATGAGCACAGTGACACTCATGACAACACCGTTAATGTCACAGTTCCTTTCTGGCGCTTCAGAATGGCCACGGCCTGTTCATGGGTGACGCCTTCCAGAGCCTCCCCGTTCACTGCCACGATCTGGTCTCCGCGTTTCAATCTGCCATCGTCTGCAGCTGCTCCCTGCAACGGCAAATTCAGGCGTCAGTGGCAGCACACGGAGCCCTCCCGCCCCTTGGAATGCTGGCTGGAATGAGGAGGGATGGAGCACTGGGAATCCCACCATGGCTGGGTGAAATGACAGTGCTGAGGGTTCCCTGTGAGGGCTTCAACTCATGGCTCACCCTGAGACCCAACCCTGGGGCAGAAAAGAATTGGCTCACCCCTTGGAAAAGGCAGTGCCAAGACTGGCTCTAGATTTTATGGTTACGGAGAGGCTTCTTAAAGCAGCATTTAAATGTACTCCACACTGAGAGCTGAGGAACAGGTTAAAAAGTGGGGATGAAGAGGGACACAAAGCTTGTGCAGCAGAACAACTTGGCCACTACCCTCAACCCAGACAGAACTGGGCTCCGCTGAAGAAATGGCCTCAAGGTGTGCCATTCAGAGGTTTGGATTGGATATCAGCATAATTTTGTTCACCAAAAGGGTGTCAAGCACTGGAACAGGCTGCCCAGGGAAGTGGTGGAGTCCCCATCCCTGGAGGGATTTAAAAGCTGTGTAGATGTAGCACCTGGAGACACAGTGACCTTGGTTGTGCTAGGGGAATGGTTGGACTCGATGGTCTTAGAGGGCTTTTCCAGTGTAAACAATTCTATGATGCTCCTGAGAAGCTTCCACCGGGCTTTACAAATGGCTGTTCTCCTTCAGAGGCCTGAGTGCAGCTCTTTAATCTAAATCCCAAGCCCTGCCTTCCCAGAGGTTGGCTCACAGTGTCTACTTTTGCTTCAAGGCCCCACTGCAGTAAATTTAGCTTCCATTTAGGGTTTCTCAGCCATGCTCAGATCTAGAAACTTGTAACCCTAAGGATCAGGTAAAAGACACAATATCTTAATAATTGAAAATTGTAAAAAGACAAAATATTTGTGGTTTGAGCCCCAGAATAGCAGAAGACTTCTTTCAGACAAAGTTTTCTCAATTATATCATCTACCCTGCCACAAGTGCTGACACAAATGACAGCAAGTAGTCACTGGACAAGTGACTCTGGGCGAAAGACACCTAATTCCCACTGTCTTCCCTTCCTCACCCCCATTTCCACAATTCCCTTCATGTGGCCATACCTGATGTATCTTGCTGGCCCACACTGAGCTCATCTCTAGCAAAGGGATGGGTGGGAAAAGGGGCACTTCTCCCTCCTCTATTCTGGGGCTGGGCTGGGCTGTACTATGGGTCTTCCTCAGCCTTGGGGGCCAGAGCCTCTGAAGTACATGGCAGGGACCCCCAATCCTCCCCAGACACTCAGGGTTGGGGTCAGAGATGGGTTTAATCCTGGTTTTTCAGCTGAAACTCATCCGCCAAGATACAGCATCTCTGCAACTGCCTCCCTCCTGCACAACGGCAAAAATAATACCTTCATACCTCTTGGAAGGCTTTTTGAGATTTACAGATAGAAAACTGCCTTATAAATATTTTAATTTACAAAGTTTCCCAAGTACACAGAGCAATTTTGCTGAGATAAAGTATCTTGTTTCAGCCATCAGGAATATGAAATATAAACTGAGAAGCTAGTTGTGAGTTCTGGGTCCACTAACTCACATCAATGTACTCAGACAGTACATTTTGCTTTCTACTACATAATATATTACCCAAGCCAAATCTTAGGTTTGTTTTTAAAGATGATACAGAGAAAACAAAAATAAAAGATACCTTGGCAAATATAGTCTTGACATAAATGGGCAGGTCTCCATGGGGACTTCCATACCCCCCTACAATACTAAATCCCAGTCCATCAGAGCCTTTCTCCAAAGTAATAATCTTAGGCTGATGTGCTCTGAAAACACAATAAATATCACTTAGAACAGCAATGTCTGTCTCTGGGGACATTCATCTATCACGAACTTTTTCACACAGTCACAAACCATGACCCCTGCACTGAAACACTCCTGCACAGCTCAGAGTTGAAACACTGCTCTGTGTGCCTCAGCTCCTCACTTGGAAAATGCTTATTTCTAATAAGAGCTCACCAAGAGCACTTATCTCTGAGGCAGAAGTGAGACTCCCCTGATCTACAGTCGCTGCCTGTAATAGAGAGATTGCTTTCTTTTCTGTCATCTTTTCTCTGCCTAAGTGGAAACTGCAAGAGGAAAGAGTCTAACAGGATGCAGCCAAGATCACTCCTGTTTGTAGTGTCAGCTCTACCCAGGCTCTTTGGGCTGTTTCCTAACAGCCAATATTTGACCTACATCCCCTGTCCTGGTGAACTTTTCAGGGACTTTCATGGCCTACGCTGAGCAAAGGAAGGGTTTTTTTGGGGAATTTAGACCATTCATATGAATAGATCCATCTCAAATTTGAAATTAGTAAGTTCTACACGTGTAGAAAGAATTACTGTCGACTAAAGGTGGTCAGGCATTGGAACAGGTTGCCCAGGGCAGTGGTGGAGTCCCCATTCCCGGAGGGATTTAAAAGCCCTGTGGATGTGGCACTTGAGGACATGGGTCAGTGGTGGCCTTAGCTGTGCTGGGGAATGGTTGGACTCGATCTAAAAGGGCTTTTCCAACCTAAGTGCTTCTAATTCTGTGAAAGCTGTTAGGTATCTTCCACTCATCTAAAGGTGCAGCCTAATCTGACTATTATCTAGGCATTTGTTAGGACTAAATACATACAACTACCTAATTCTGCTTCATATTTGCACATCCAAATTTCCTTACTGTTTTGATATGAAAAAAGAATACAAATCCTTTTGTGAAGCAAGCAATTCTCCTTTGAGAGCAGCAATAAAAACAGTATCTCACACTGTAAGACTAGAGAATGCAGCATAAATAGCTTAACTTTTATACTCAAATCCCCTGAGGTAGGGCAGCAACTCGCATCTCAGCTTCTTAAAATAAATACGATGAATCAAAGAATGAAAATGCAGAACATAATGAAGCTGATGAACTGAAGATCAAATGAATTTCAAAATGATAACTACAAGCTGCCCTAAAACCCACATGATGGAGAATGATGCATGGGAGGGCTGGATCTCTAACTTCCATCACCACACACAAGTGCTACAAGTAGAAATTGTTTTAATCAGATTTTTTTGAGTTGTAAAGCTAAAAAGATTCAAAAGACAAAGAAATTTCTGGGACATGTTTTGAAAGGCTTTTTTAACACATCTTTTCTCAGTGTGCCAATAACAAATTATTTCAAATTGCTATTAACTCCTTCCAGACAAGGAAGCCAACAGACAAGGGCAGAACTACTATGTCAGCATAACATTGGAAAAGAAAGGAGATACTTTTTTCCTTGACATTTTGTGCTTATTTACTCAAGCATACTCTGTCAGCGGGTGAAGACAGACACGAGCCCATGTGGAGAAGGTCACGGTTTTCATTTTAAAGGTGATGGAAAATTAGAGAGAGAAGCAATGGGAGAGACCTCCTGCACCATTCCAGGCTGTTCCCTTGCATGAAATCCACTTCAGTTCTGCAGGGGAGTCTGGACTTACTCGGGATCTTCGGAAGGATGCTCCGAGGATGAGTTCAGGGTGCACCCTGCAGACATGCTCTCCAGCTGGGTGGCAATGGCACTGATGTTGGTGTCAGCCACAACCTGAGCAGCAGGATCAAGGAAATACAATGTAAATTCACTTAACACCAAAACCATGTTGGCTAATTATGCAGAAAATAGCTGATACATTCCGAAAATCAACTGCTGACTTTTTTGCAAGCAAATTTTAAATACAAGTCCTACTCTCTTAAATCTACTAATTCCATACTTTCAAATTATAGCAGCCACCTTTCTGAGGGTTAATGTAAACTTCGCTGTGAAGCTTCCTCTTGCCTTCATATGACCATCACTTGGGTGCTGAGCAGAGGGAACAGCCCTTTTGGATAATCCAGAGAAAGAGGTTACTTTGTCAAGGAAATAGAGTCAATACAAAGGGTCCAGGATTGGGCTTGAAAGTAAAGATCTCCCACAGAGACCACCATAACCTTTAACAAAATACTGAGATCCAAGGGCTACTGGATAAAGGCCTTGAAATACCTCAGATGGTTTGTTCACTAAGTAGGGAACAAATTCATCCTTTTGTTTTCAACTTTTCTGCAATTTTTAGCATGAACTTAACAAACTAGATTGTTAAACTTCCCAATTCTGGTTCCTCTATTATTCTGAAACCATGATGAATGATGCTCTTAGGGCTGGAGCACCTTTCTCTGGAGACAGACTGGGAGAGCTGGGGGTGTCCAGCCTGGAGAAGACAAGCATCCAGGGAGACCTTAGAGCTCCTTCCAGTGCCTAAAGGGGCTCCAACAGAGCTGGAGAGGGACTTTGGACACGGAGTAACAGGACAAGGTGAAGTGACTTCCCACAGGGCAGGATTAGACGGGATATTGGGAAGAAATTCTTCCCTATGAGGGTGGTGAGGCACTGGCACTTACCTTGCACTGATGCTAATTTTTTAGTCTTTGCTTTTTTTCTGGAAAAATTTTAAAGAGACCACCACGAAGTGGTTTGGATTTGAAGTATTTACAGTTGAAAGGACATCAATTTCCCAATAACCACATGCTGTGGTTATCTCCTAACTCCATCTCCCTCTGAAGAGATATTCTTCTCTGCTTGACACTTACTGTTTCAGCTCAGAGACAGTGAAAAACAGCCAGGAAGTATATTTCCAATATTTCTTCTAGCTAGCCATGGCCTTATTTTATCAAAATGAAAAGGTACTTTTTCTGCTAGTTGCTGTAAACATGGCTTAAGGAAAATGTACCTTTTCAAAGTAAAAAAATCTATTCTATAAATCCCCCTTTTTAAACGAATGCTCGCAATTCTTCCATAACAATATTTCCCTCTTTTGAATGACTTGGAGCCAAGAGGGTGATAGAGCCAAGAGGTTCTCATGCAAATTTTGCATCCCAGGACCCAGGTTCTAGGATACCCTAAATGAAGCAGTCCAGTTGATGAGAGCTGCACCTAGCTCAGCCACCAAAGACACCATTAAGGTTTCTTCCCGTGGCATTAGGGTAAGGAATGCCAGCCAGGATTTGTCGTGTTTTGTTGTTCAATAAAACGTGGGCAAAATAAATCTATATTCAAAAATCTTCAGCTGGCAGTAAGAACGTATCAGAGTTCAACAACCTTGTAAAAAAGCTTCCCCTTATCTCATTACTACACCTGCAGAAAAGAAATTAAATTAAACCAAAGCATCAAAACAGCCGAAAGGGATGATTGTTCCCCTGAGACCTTAATCTCCCATTTGCAAACAGCATTTGCAAACTCTTTTACCATCCTTCCCAGGACGTTCCCATAATAAGCCTTTCCACACCACTGAACACAATTATCTGACCTTTCAAAGCAGTTTGCCATGAAGTGGTCTAACCTGATAATAAACAGAATTACTTAATGACACATCAGTCATGATTATCACAATGATAGGATTATTCCATTTAGATTGTTTTAATAAAAAAGAGCAATTTGGTGATTGAGAAGTACCTGTGGTTCGTGTGTGAGGCAACCGCATCACCACACTATGGCAGGGCCTCAACACTACTCCCAGTATTAAAATACAACATCCCACCTTCATAGAACAGATTTTTAATGCAGGAAAATAGACTCGACTCTATCAGAATAAAGCTGTATCATCTGTAAAGACTATTGGGCTCATTTTAAGCCAGAGAGCAAAAATGTGGAAGAAAAACAGTCAACTAAAAAACCAAGACATTTCTAGAAGAACCTCTTTGTTTATGTGTGTGCTCCATCAGGAATATTTTTAAATCCTCGATGAGGTGCAGTATGCTGCATAACACCTTTCAAGATGAGCAATTTTGGGTTCTGCAGCAAGCTTTCATTTTCTATTCAGGGAATACTGTTGACATGGAAAGTGAAATTACTCAATGTTAGTAACAATATGATAACTATAATTTAACAGAGAATCCTCAGCTGGGGCATATCTATGTGTTTCCTTTGACTTCAATGGAACTACACAAATACACCATCTGCTCTGGAACTGGCTCATCACTTACTGGGTCAGCAGTTCATGGACAGACAAAACAAAGAATAAGCAAGTCTAAAATTGAGTTTATTATCATTTAATTTCCCTTCCCCCCCTTTTTTTCTTTTTTTTTTCCTATTTGTGTTGTAATGCAAGCACAAAGCCTGCAAAAATCCCTCAGGATGTGTTCCAATCCAAAATGCTGTGATGATAAAGAGAATTAGAGCAGATTTTAGCAGTGTCTTCAGCTTGTTTTCCAATTGTTACAATAATTCTGAAAACGAGGAGAATTTTGAATTCTATCTGGCAAGTATTTTTCCCATTTCCTTGTGTAAACATAAAAATAAACTGTGCATGAATATCCTGGCAGACAGCAATTAGAACTACTGTGGCAGAAGCAACATAGCAGTGACAGCACTGTTTTCTCTCTTGAGTGTTTTTATTCATTACCTGTAGAATATTCAATTCTAGGCAGCACTGTCTTAATCATGATGGTATAAGTTTTCTCGAATTTCTTTCAAGAACATGGAAACCATCACTGTGGGCAGTTGGGTTCCAGTCTTGTTACATCATGCACACACACACAGAATTTCTTGTTCCTAGTTAACTTCAAAATAAAAAAACCCCCACAACTTGGAAGCTTGTTGATTTATCATGTGTAGCAACAAGTTATTTTGTTCTCTTTGTTATGCTTTATATAATCATGCTTGCAGCCTGCATGAATGGCAATAAAGAATTTTTGAATGGAAATGATTTCTTGCTTTCATTCTGTGTAATTCCCATCAGCAATCACCCTGCAATTCTGTGATGTCTTGTGCCAGTGATGCTCAGGGTTTTTTTTATTCCTCAATGCCATTTATCTACCCTGATGCAGCTGCATGTTCAATTTATCACCATACCTGCAGGATAATGCTCCCATAAGCATTCTTTAGTAGATTAACAGCATCTGCATGAGACAGCCCATCCAAAGGTTGCCCATTAATACTGACAATCCGATCTCCAACCTAAAAGTACAACAGTAATGGAAAATTACTACCATTAGGGAAAATTAAAATTAAGAATGCTTAAAATTCCTCGTGAACTTGGCACTGCACAGTCACACTTCTCTTTTGCAGGATCCCTTTTGTGAGGATTCTGCACTGCTAGTGATCATTTCCCATTCTTCAGAGCAAGAACAATAAGGATTTTTTAAAACTAACAATACCATCAGAGAAACAAAGATGAATTGTATTTTACTCTTTCCATTTGCAAGCAGAGAGAGGGAGATTTTCAGTGCTGTCCTACCAACCAGAAAGGATTGATTTGTGTTTGAATATGCAGACAAGTTCATGTTCTTCCAGACTGTGTAAGCACTTGCTGAATGTTGTATAGAAAAGTAGGAACTTCAGATGTTAATCTAATTAACCTGGATGATTTCTTCTTCTTTGACATAAAAATGATCTTGACCCTGGCACTTAGTGCTATTGTTTAATTCTTGAGACACAGCACGAATGTAGCAGCATGTCCTAATCAATCTCATGGGCCAAAACAGATGGATCTGCACAATAAGTTCTTTTCAATACTTTTGATTCCTTGAAACTCACTCAAAACCTGGAAGTCTTCACCACAGTTATCCCTGGAAACCCACATATGCTGTGGGTCTGATACAAGTGCCTTATTTTGGTGTTTCTTTCTAAGAGCCTTAAGATCAAAAAAATAATTTCTGCTCTGATTTCTACCTGGTTTGAGCTCTAAATGATGCCCAGTCTGGAGTTCCCAAAATCCTTGTGGGTTTCCAGAGAGCCTGTTGCTGCCCTTGCTGGGTCTGGATGAACATATACATTGCAAGACCTCTGCAAATGCATTTAAGTTCTTTCTCTTAATATCACTTTTCCAATATAGGCAACAATTGCCATTATCCCAAGACACAGTTTAATTAAAATGGCAAGAGAAGGGCAGATTTGGTTTTGTGGTTATTTTTGTTATGACAGAGTAGTCTATGAGACATTATCAAAGTGATAGCATATACAGCTGTGCTTGAGGCTCTGTGGGACACATGGCAGATAAAACAGGAAATATTGAGGACTCCTCTACTCACTCTGAGCCTTTGGGTCCGTGCAGCCACACCGCTGGCTTGAATCATAGCGATGAAAATGGGAATATCTCCCAATGGACTTCCCTTCCCTCCTGCTATGCTGATACCAAGTGCATCATTTGGACCCTGAAACAAAGTAAAACAGAACATTTTAAATTGGGGCAACTCATAGGGGTCAGTGTTCAGGGTATGGTAATAACTGAGTCATCTGATTTGTGGAACAGGGAGAAAACAGGTTTGACAGACACACATATCCTCACACATGCAGGTCCCAAAACACAGGCACACATCCAACATCTGCCTGCAGACACAAATAACGCAATTTGAATTGTGAGAAATGCTACAAAAACGAACAACTTCAGTGAAAGGCGTCAGCTTTGTGAATTGATAGAAAATAAGTCACTGACCCTTGTTATCTCCACAGTCCTTGGGCCCATATCGGCTCCTACTAATAAAGAAACAAACAATTAGCTTCTGTAATTAAGAGATAATATAATTAAGAGATAACACTGTCAGGTGACAACAGTCCCTCGCTGCCCAGGCAGAGTTATCACCAAGCAGGAGTGGAGCCTTCCTGTGCCAAACCAGGCAGTGCTGCTCATGTGAGGAGGAGGAGGAAGGATGAATAGGGGTATAATCCCTCCGGCTGATGAATGTCACTGTGACACCCATTGTAGCCCAGCCACAATCTGTGGCTCAGCAGCACTCTGCCAGCCTGTAGAAGGGTCCCATTGTGCCTTCACTCAATTAAAGATTGGCTTATTATTCCTAAATCACAGTGTTCCTGCACAAAGGGCACACGGTTGCTCTGAGACTGGTGTGGTTCCATTGATTTTCTCTTCCAGTTCTGTGCTGTATTGGTAAATAATAGACAGGCAGGAAGTCTGGCTGGTGTATATCCAGTCATAGGGCTTTCAAAAGTACTCAAAATATTAGAAAAGGGGAAGGAGAAGGGGAAGGAAAATGAGAAAGGAAAAGAGGAAGGAAAAGGCAAAAGGAGAAAGAAAAAGGGAGAAGGGAAAGGGGAAAGTGGAGAGGAAAAGAGGAAAGAAAAAGGGGGGAAAAGGGGGAAGGAAAAGGGAGAAGGAAAAGGGGAAGAGAATAAGGAAAAGGGAGAAGGGAAGGGAAAAGGAAATGAAGAAAGAAGAGGGAGAGGGGAAAGGGGAGAAGGGAAATGGAAAAGAGGAGGGAGAAGGGGAAAGGGGGGAGGGGAAAGAGAGGAAAGGAAAAAACCTTCAGGGGCATCGTTTAAACCAGGACTAAACAGCTCGACAAGCTGATCAGGTCCTGGGCTCTGCTACACCAACCCCTACTTGTATCAACTTTATTAAACTATTTCAAACACCTTTCAGAAGGCAGGCAGAATTAGTCTCTTCCAAAATTCAATGATTTTTTACTACCCCATATATCAGCATTCCTCATGGCCATGCAGGTGCCGCTGCTGTGGGTGCAGAAGGCAGGATTGCCAAGGTTTGTGGCAGTGGGAAGTCCAGCCCTGGGAGCCCCAAATCAGGGCATGAGGACATGCCCTCTCAGTGCTGCAGGGCCTTTTCAAACAGCACAAGGAAGGCTGCCCAAAAGCCACCAGCCTCCTCCAGTGCATGCAAAGTGCCAGAAGAAATGTCTCATGGTCAGACACGAGCAAAGATTCCCAACTCCTGGAGCAGGCTCTCCACAAGCTACCGCCGGTCATAGATTTAACACTTGTTAAATCTGCAAACTGCAAACTGGACATTGTGACTTTCTCATTACAAAACACCCCTTCATACACTCAAGAACAACAAAGGTATAAATGAAGTGGTGGCAGCTTTATTCCCTGAGAAAACTGTTTCTAATGTGAGAACCGTGCCTGTGCTAAGCCTCTGACAAGGGCATCGGGGAATAGCAGGGCACAGGAATTCTGCACTTAAAATAGAGGAGCTATTACTCCTCTAGTAGACATCAAAATAATGTCATCTGCTGGAAAGTGTTTGGGTCTTAAAACATCAGTGGGATGTCTTCTGGGAGGCTGAGCAGGAAAACCAGGTTCAAGTATTCAGTTTTGCTTTTAGAGCAGCCCAAATATAAAGCAAATAACACGCAGCTATTCTGACAGCTACCCAGATTATACCTGAGTTTCTCTGAGACACATCTGCTGAAGATCTTTTTGTACTGACGAAATTCTGTAAGGTGGAGAGGACTGGAGCAAGAGCGGGGTGGAAGTGGCTGTGGACACTCTGTTGGCTCGCCTGAAGTTAAAAATAAATAAAAACCTCTGAGTCAAACCCAAATGTTAACTTTAAACCAGATCTTGCAACATACAGGCACAGCTGTGCTCTGTGCCAACCAGACTGGAAATACCACATTGGTCACGCAAGTGCAAACCCCTTTGGTAGGGGAAACCTACCAAAATCTCCCCATAGTGGTTGAGTCACCATTTCTGGGGTGATTTAAAAGATGTGCAGATGTGGTGCTTGGGGACATGTGGTGGCCTTGGCTGTGCTGGGGGAATGGTCGGACTCAGTGATCTTAAGGGTCTTTTTCAAGCTACAGGATTCTATGGTGCTAAGGTCACTCCCTTACATGCACACCTAATGCCTGTGTTGCTCAGGTCAGCTCTAGAGTGCTTGTTCCCCTCCTTTCACTTATTCTCACTGTGACTCTGAACCTGAGGAGAAGGAGAGATGATGGGCATCTTCCATGTGATTCACCTGCATGCATGAGGCACCCAGGAGAACAACAAACAGCTCCTCTCTCATACAAGGTGGGGATAAGACCAACATCCACTTTGTTGGGTGTGGCAGAAATCTACAGGCTTTGTTATTTAGCTGAATATACTGTAATTGTCCCTGCTCCTTTAATTTGTCCAAGAAGTAGAACATGCCCATTTCCAGAAGAACATGCCAGGTTACAAAGGGAGAACCTCCAAAGAGAGCTGCTTTCTCATGTTACCCTTTCTTGGCCATCTATTTCCAGCCCTCCTTTTCCCTCTCTCCTTATCTGGCTTTATCTTTAGACTCTGCCCCTTGAGGAAACATAATTATCAATTTAGGAAGTGCATCTGAACTACAGGTTTCACTGAAGGTCAGACCTTTCCAGCCGTGCTGCCTTGTACAAAACAAAAGATCTGGTCTGTCCTTCTCCACCCACAGCACAGTTTTCTCCCCCTAAACGCATTAGTCGGTGAATCAAAAGCTCTGGCAGCACTTCTCCCCACTGACCAGTGTGCAGCTGTCAGTGACAAACACCAGGCAGAGCACAATTTCCACCTCGGGTTGCCAATTCATGGCCCAGTTAACATCATTTGCAACGCGTGTGAAAGAAATCACTGTCCTGCACCACAAGGCTTCTATTTCTCCTGTTAAAGGTATGCAATGGACCAAGAAAAAAGCCAAGTGAGGACAAAAGTTCTGGATACTCTTGGCCAGCAGCTTCCAAAATGGTGCTCACAGTTGTGCAAATCATTCAAGCTGATTTGCTGCATCATCTGCCAAGATTTTTATAACTCTTGGAAGGGTTTTGCTGAGAAACATCTATGCAGTTTTGAAAATCACCAAGTCACTTTGAAACAGTGAGATGAAGGCTCTCAAACGACTCTGCATCAAGAAGATTAAGTTTTCTTGTTTTGAAAGAAATATAGGAATTACCAGGTTCCTGGAAAAGCTTCTTATGCTACAAAAAAGGGGGATGATGTCATTTGATCTGACTGTTTTTACCTAAACCCTTGTTAAGATATTATGGCATTCTGCTTCCTTTTCACCTGAGCTTTAATAGGTGGATAATTTTTAGCTGTCACTTTTTGATTACTTTGCTCTTACTTAGGCTTCATGCTGATACAATGGCCAAAAAAGAGTAATACTCGACTGCTGTCTTTACTTAATGCAATCAGTGTAATTTGCCTCTGTTCTTTCATTTCTCTTTGCCTGCTGCATGCAGTGCAGATGTTTCTCCAATGCTATTTAGTCATAATTTTTAAAGATGGGCTTAGCCCAGCTGTTACCATATGGCTTTAGCCCCTCTTGGTACCTCAAACCCCAGACAGCAGCCTGGATCAGTGCTGGCCTTTAGGAAGTGAAGAAATCATGACCATACAATGATGATTTTGGCACCTTTTTGGGTTGTTCATGGACAAGCCTTTTACTGACCTCCTTAAAAGCACTCCTGCTTTAACTTACATCCCCTCTAAGCCTCCTATGGCTCCTCCTTGTTTCCAAAAACAAGCCCTTCTTTTAGAAGTTGTGGATCTCCTCAATGTGCTGCTCCCCTCAGGGCAGAGAGGAGCCAAAATCCTCCACAGCAATCACTCTGCTATGATCCACAGCATGCCTCTCTCAGAGACATTCACAACTTAAATATAATGGCAAAACAGTCGGTCTTTGGAAGGAAAATCCATTAAAAAGTTTTTTAAGCCCTTCTGCCTTGTTTCTCTCCGTTGCAACACTCCAGCTTTAATACCAGCATATCGGTGTCTGAGAGGACTCGGGGGCACAGGGAGAGGGGAAAAGCCCTGCTCTGATTGAAAAATGAATTGTTGTCCTCGCTTCAGGTAAAAAGCAAGTGAAGCAGGAAATTGCTCTGTGTTTTCTTTGAGAGGAAAGCAGCTCTCATGTGGTTCTGCCCTAAGATAGGCAAAGATACAGTTCGGTTTCATTAACTCATTTTGATTGACAAAACAGCTGCAGAAAATACATTCAAGAAGCTTTTGCAGGTCTAAAAAAAATTTCTGGGCATCATCATCTGAGAAAGATATTACAGATTTTTGGTGTGTCTTGGGGAGACGCTCCTTAAACCATTAACCAGTTCTTCAACTTAATCAGCATTTCAGCAGCAGTTCAGTACAGAGAATTACATCGGTAAAATATTTTGTTCCCTGTCCTTAGCAGTGTCTGAGGAAGGAATGAGCCTCACATGCATCATCCCTGTGCTCTGCCCTTCAAAGCTCCACTTTATACATAGGAATTTGTCACTAACCTGACTGTTTTGGGACGTTTTCCGTGATGACAGCCATGATCCAGCTCGCAATCTCCCAAGCTCAAGATGCACCAGGCCTTGGGCACACTTGGAAAAAAACCCCCACACAATGTACAATTTAAGCAGACATATAATATTTCATGCTCTCCTGGAGAGGAATATGTTTATATTCAGCACCACAAATCCATGAAGAAAACCACAAGGAATGCTCAAAACATGAACATTTGTATTTAGACAATACAGAAAGTGGATTTAGGTTTGTCCTGAAGGTTTATCCTGGTTGCTGAATGTAGTATGGATATTCCTACTGGCAAACTGCAGATGGCCCATTACTAAGTAAAAATAAACAAAAAGCCCCAAACTCTTTAACAGACGTTTGAAAACCCCTTCAGAGGAAAAATGCTGCAGAAAAGGGTAAATTTAACCCATATGGATCCAACTTAACAATGTACCCTCATATCACCGATTTCCAATTCTTAAATAGGTAAACTTTTGGCCAAGTACCAACCCTGAATGGAAAAAGCAAGGAAATAATTAGCTTTTCCCTTCAAGAATGAAAGAAATCGTGTAGGAACACTGGTGGTAATGGCAGGGGGGAAGCCCTTATCTCCAGATGCAGTTTGGAATAGAGATGGATCTAAAGCATTGCTCCCACAAGGCTGTTGGGGCTGGGAGATGTACAAGGATCTAACATCAGGCACTCATGGCCATCCCATCCCCTGCCCCCTCCCCCAGACCAAGCAGTCACGTGCTTTTTAATGTAAAAAGGCAACTTCTCCCAGAACTTTACTGTAAAATCACTCCTGGAAGATGGAAAGCTGTGCAGGAACGGATTTAAGCTGTCATTGTATAGCTGCAGCCAAGCCAAAGACATTTATTTCAGTTCTGGTTTGCACTGCCTCTCTGGTTTCCAAACATTTTCCTAACACATGAAATACACAGTTGCATTTTCAAGTAAATGCCTAAAGACTAAATGTGTCTTTGTTTTCCTGCTTCATATCATCAAATTCCTAGAAATACACAGAGAAGTGATTTTAAATGAACCTCCCAGTTATTTCAGACGAAATTCCTGTCTCGGTAATCACTTGGAGTCGTCCTATGTATGGTAAATAGCACTTCAGGATAATTACCTTGCACAGTGTCAGTAACTGCAATTCAATACTTAAAATGTATTCTGTACTCACCTTAAGTATAGTGGCAACAGTCTCTTGTGAAGCATTTCTCATATCCTCCCCATTTACAGACAAAATCTGATCTCCTTGAATTAATCTTCCATCTAGGTCTGCAGCTCCTCCTTTAACAATGTCAGAGATAAACACTCCACTTCCATTTCTAACAATGCAAGAAGCATATGGCTAATTACACAATCCAGTATTCTTTGGGAGACCAATTTAGATTACTTGCATTTAAGAGACATTAAAAGAAACCTGTGAGCAGAGGAAGAACTAGTTTTACACTCCATTCAGCCATGTAAAAAATTGACGTGTTTTAAAACCACGGCATGTTGTGCCATATTTAATGCCGTCTTTCCCCTTGAACTGTTAGTTTTGACTGAAGGACACATATTCATGAAAAACATAATTTTTATGAATAAAAAACCAAGGACTGGTCTAAGATGGAGTTAAACCATCTCATGAGACATAGTTTAGTGGTGGACCTGGCAGTGCTAGGTTACAGGTTGGACTCAATGACCTTAGAGGGCTCTTCCCTCCTAAATGATTCTGTGATTCCATGGTATGAGCTGGTGCCAGCTGCAATGCCAAGGTTTGGCATTTGGTATCTACACCCTGAAGGACACAACACTTCAAACCCTGAATTATAGCAGGGTATCATTTAACTGACTTCAGAAATTGGACTATCCCTAAGGAGGAAATCCTCACTCTGAAGCATTTAGCAATAGCACAGAAGCAAAGGTGGGAGGGATGGAGACTGCGATTACCATCTGCAGGGTAATATAAATAAGCTAAATTAATTACCCAATCTGCAATCTGCTCACAACACCTGGGTTAAACATCCCCACTCTTGTAAAAAACTGCTGTGGAAACTTTACTGAAAACAGGCAGTTGGGATAATGACATGATGATGTGTAATTGCAAAAGTCAATTATTTTTGGCAATACAGGAGAGCAACCATATGACTCTTACACACCGACACTGAACAAGTATCATGCCATAAATCTCTTTCGGCAAAGAAAGATTAAAACTATCAGTGCTCTGGTTCAAGTGATCTAATAGCAATGGTTTAGAGAGAGATCAGTAAAATCATACTTTATTAAGCTGCTACCACCTCCCACCATATCCCTCTCTACAACTACTTGAACGGAGGGTAAGCCAGGTGGGGGTTGGCCTCTTCTCCCTGGCAACAAGTGACAGGACAAGGGGAAATAGCCTCAAGTTGTGCCAGGGGAGGTTTGGGTTGGACATCAGGAGGAATTTCTTCCTGGAAAGGATGGTCAGGCCTTGGAAGGGGCTGCCCAGGGAGGTAGTGAAGTCATCGTCCCTGAAGGTGTCCAAGGAATGACTGGACATGGCACTCAGTGCTCTGGTCTGGGTGACAAGGTGGGGACTGGGCACAGGTTGATGATCTCAGAGGTTTTGCCAGCCTAAATGATTCTGTGGTTCTGTGTCTCAGGATCTTATTTGTATTCACAGAACTGCTTTCTGCAGTGTTACGCAGTCACCTTGATACTGCTCAGGATTTGGGTCTAACTCAGCCTCGTATCTTCCACTGATGTCGGTCCCTTTGAACCTGAGTAGGAGCTAAATCTAACTCACAAATCCATCTGCAAAGGCACATCCTGGTATTTAGAAATAGGAAGGTTTCTCCCCCCATTTTGAAACTAGAGAAGCCATGGTTAGGGCCTCCAACCCTGAAATGTGGCTACGCTGATGCCACTAGAAGAGTGAGCTCCCAGCTCTGCACGTGGCCACACTCCCTCCGAGCAGGACACCCACTGGGAGCTCTCCTGGGCTGCTGCAGCCTTCCCTGCTAGGTCTGTTGTTCTGACAGAGAGGCAGAACCACAGTCTCATTGCATCCTTGAAGATATTTAGATACAAAATTCAGTTCCTTATGTAGTTTTCCCTTTATTTCATTTTCCATTTGGAATGGCTACAGTCATTCAAAAAGTAAAATACTTTTCATTTGAAGCACCGCTGGATCAGAGCTGCTCTTACCGTTTCCCAGCTATGCTGAGCCCCAGCCCTCGGCCCGTTTTCTTTTGTATATCTACATAGAAAATCTCTAAGTTTTCTTCATCTTTGTAATGTGCTTCATTCCTATAAACAACCAGCTGCACCTTCTGGGGTGTCTGTCGGAGCGCAGTGATCGCTTCCTCATGGCTGGCATTCCGCAGATCGATCCCATTCACCTGAAATAATCAGTGTTTGCTTTCCAAATGACATGTATAAATGATCTTTTCATCACACCCTACCCTTGTGTGACAGCACAAATTTGTCAAATTGACACCCCTTGGCGCTCTAATTTAGTGCTCCCATTTCCAGAGGGCTGAGATCCTGGATCTCCTACAGAGTGAGTCTGGTGCTTTGTGCAACTGCCTGGAGTACATCACAACAATCAAAACATTCTGGCTGGGAAGTTCTTCCCTTCTTTTTAACCTCAAATCTTTGGAATCTCAAACAATGCTTCTTTCTACACCTAGACAAAGTAGGATGTACTCCTTTGAGCTCCCTGTGTCTCTTACCACTCAGATTCCTTCTCCCCCAGCTGCACAACAGCGTTGAGATGAAAAGAGAAGGAATCAAAAACACCAGTAATAAATGGCCCTGGAGAAGCCCAGGCAGGATGTATTAAATGGTGATTTTCCTTTTTATCCAATAGATGGCACACCAGACCGCTCTTGGAGCACCCAGTTACACTTCCCTTACCATGACCTGAGAATGTTTCAGCATTTTAGTAATGTCAGACAGAACAAGAAGTTCTACTTCAATACGTGCTCAAGTATTAAAAAAAACTATTGCAACTTAAAACTTAATCTCCTGATTTTGCCAAGCCTAATCCACAGGTGCCTTTTAAGGTGTTTGCCAATAGTCTGTCAACAAAATAATCTTTTATTTCTTAATACCAAAATATATCAATACTTAAACATTTTCTCTTTAGGAAGTAGCATGAACTGTAACAGGAGAACCATACAATATTAATCCACTTCCATAAGTTTTAAGGTAATGAAAATATTTCTCAGTATTTCTAGATATGCAAAGTTACAATTGTACTTAATTTTACATTAAGATAATTAAGCCTAGTCTATAGTAATTACATTGTTTGTACTAATTTTGCACATATTTATTTATATACTGCATTGATACTCTTTTCTTGACACAGGCATCTACATGTGCTTTATCCCACTAATCTGAAACCAATTCAGAGTCATCTTTTTGATTCATTAATACAGCTTTTAAAAGCTGAAGCAATAACAATATTATGGCCCACAAACATTAGCACTTTCCTGTTTGGCCAGAGAAGAATTAATTAAGGTGCCCCATTTTTACCCCCTAATTATCCTGCTCTGTTAATACATCATTATTTATAAAACGAAAACAACATTCAGCCTTAACGCTAACAAAAATATTTTCAGTGCAAGAGCTGTAAAGACAAGTCCCCAAGTACCCCTCGCTATTTTTCTAACCCTACACACCGAAGCCTTAATGGCCATGCTGGGAATTTGTCCTGAGCTGACAGCAGAGCTTTGAGCAGCTGCACTGAACCCCTGCCTGACGCAAGTTTCATTTGGAGACCAACACTTCTCTCTTAACCCTTTCCCTCCACCTTTTCTATGCTTGGCTGAGGGAAAAACACCACATTTATTCATCTGTGTGTTTCCCAGTTGGATGAAGCATGGCCTGGGGGAGCTGGTGGCTTCTGCAGGGATATAGGAGGGATGCTCACAGGGATGCTGGCAAGGATGCTCACAGGAATGGTACATCCCCCCTCTCCTCCCCACCAATATTTGGGTTGCAGGTAGTGCAGAGATACTTGAGTGGCTGCCTCTGAATGAAAGATTAAAGAGATGAATAATACTAAGCTATTGGACATGACAGCTGAACTATGTAATTCAAGAACTACCTTGCTCAATTAAATTTAATGTATTCTCAATTTGTACCTTCAGTTTATATGAATATATAAGGATATATGAATTTTTCAGCATGTTCTTAGTGATGGAAGGGAAGCCTCAAGAATGGATCCTTCTCAATGACCTGTCCTTCCCCTACAAGAAATCACTGTTGCATGGAATACAAGTATACACAACGAAGAACATACACAGAGAAAGTCATTTACCTCCAGAATCTGATCACCAGCCCAAAGTCTGCCATCTCGGGCTGCTGCCCCCTCTTCATAGACTTCATGGATCACTATGGCATCCTGTGGAAAGAGGGTGGTGTGAATCCTCCTTCCCAAACACTCCATAACCTCTTAGTCACAACCTACCCCACACTCCCCACCTCTGTGAAAGTACAGCACTCTATGACAGGAAAAGCAAGACTATAACAAAGATTTTAAAAAAAAATTAAATTAATATTTTGGGATAAGAAAATTACTCCTGTAATCCAAACACAGGGAGCCAGTAAAAAGGTACAAAGGATTTTGTTCACCACTTCAGGGTAGTCTTGTCTAGAGCTTCTTCCATCATTTTTACATGTTGGCATCAGCAGCATGTGAACTCAGTGTGAACTGTTGTATTAATATCGTCTACTTTTAATGATATTATTTAAAACCAGATTCTTCGGAGCTATGAATATTTTTAGGGACTTGGCACAGATCTCAGCTTTAAGCAAGAGCTGAATGCCTTGTGGTAAATAGTGCTGGTTAAATCTGTAAGAAATGAAATCCAGAAGAAAGGAACAATGGCAAATGTTAGTTTATTACTGAGGCTGGAAAATGTAGGCAGTGGCAGATGTAGCTTCAGGGAAGGTTTCAGTGATTTAATCTTATTGCCAGCAATAGATGTCCCCAAAGAAAAAGCATTACAAAGAACATACTGTTCTCTTGCTGGTGCTTTCCCTTTGCATTGTTCTGGCTTGTTTCTTTTTTTTTTTTCCTTCTGAAAAAAAATAGGTGAACATCCTGCTACAGTTCTTCAGATTCAGCAAGCAGGATGGGACCCTTCACTGTGCAAAACCTGCTCTTCTTCTCAGTAACACTCAGCCTCAGAGCTGAACTAGTTTTGCTACCAGCTCTGGCTCTGGATAAACACCCAGTGGTTTTTAACTAGACATGTAGGTATTGGATAACTTGTTCTCAGACAAATATACCCTCTAAAAATGCTATGGCTGTGAAGTCCCCCCACAAATTTTATGTACAAGAAGTCAAAGAGGAGCTTTTCCACCACTTCCAACAAAAGGTTGGAGTATGTAAGCCCTGCTGTGCATTGCCTTCCTGGAGCAGGAGGAGGAAATCACTGCTGGGGCAGAACAAAGTCCCTCCATGTTGGGAAAACACTGTTAGACAGTACATCTCTCATCACCAATTTAACCCCCCTCCCTGTGTTGCCTTTCTCAGCACACATGGTGCACATTGAACAGAAAGAAAACTCAAATGCCCTTCAGCTAATGCTCAGATCAAGACAATATCGAGTGCATGATTCCCTTTCATTCCCACTACCTTCTTTAATGATGTGGACTCTTCTGCTGCTGCTGGAGCACAGCAGCACTGTCACAGGTTCCCACTTTTATTCATGTACACTAGCCCCTGAAAAAAGCCTGGAGGACTGTAATCGCAAATGGATTACAGCTGATACAAGCCTCCCAGATGGGGGAACAGAGATTTCAATCTGCATAAATGAAGGCAGAATACCATGAGCTGTGTACCAAGGTAATTAAGAAAAATCAGAAGAGAGGTTTGATTAAAAAAAAAGTATATATCCATATACACACACATTGCTGGCAACTGTAGGGTTTTCTTGCAATAACTGAAGTAACAAACAGTAATGGAGTGGAGCAACACGTGCACATCCATCTCTCAGCAGTATTGCCAAAATCCTCTACTACGTGTCTTAGATCTTCTCAGTTGTGGGGTTTGGGTTGTTTTGAGTTTTTGTTTGGTTGGTTTGGGGGTTGTTTTTCTTTTTTTTGAGGGTTACCTTTGTTTTAAAAATGATGGTGTAACTGTAAGACAACACAAGAGACTTTTGCCTGGGTGAAAGCCAGGAGATGACAGTGATGTATACTTTTTCACCTGAGGCTGATCACGGGTAACTTTGAGGAAAAGCTGAGTCTGTGGTTTAGAATTTCCACTGCACATTTAACTTTTAGTTTTTGAAACACTTTATCAAGGCATGATAATTGAGAGCAGCCCTGAGGAGAAGGATGTGGAGTGTTGGATGAGACACTCAACATGCCCCATCCCTGTTCGCTGGCATCCAGAACCGCCCCCATGCCCTGGGCTGATCCCACAGCATGGGCAACAGGGGAGGGGGGGATTCTGCCCCTCTGCCCCACTCAGGTAAGATCACACCTGCAGAGCTGCCTCCAGCCCTGGGGAACAACAGCAGAAGGACCTGGAGCTGCTGGAGTGAGTCTAGAGGAGATCATGGAGATGCTTCGAGGGCTGGAGCCTCTCTGCTCTGGAGACAGGCTGGGAGAGCTGGGAGTGTTCAGCCTGGAGAAGAGAAGGCTCCAGGGAGACCTTAGAGCACCTTCCAGTGCCTAAAGGGGCTCCAAGAGAGCTGGAGAGGGACTTTGGACCAGGGCATGAAGTGATAGGACAAGTGGAAATGGCTTCCCACTGACAGAGGGCAGACTTAGATTAAATATTGTGAAAAAATTCTTACCTGTGAGGGTGGAGAGGCCCTGGCACAGGTTGCCCAGAAAAGCTGTGGCTGCCCCATCCCTGGAAGTGTCCAAGGACAGGCTGGAGGGGACAAGCTGGTCCAGTGGAAGGTGTCCCTGCCCATGGCAGGGGGTTGGAACAAGATGAGCTTTAAGGTAATTTCCAGCCCAAACCATTCTATGTTTCCACAGAGACATTTAGAAGTGGCCAGTGAGGTAACAAAATATTGGCCAGCTTATTAAGGCAGCATCATTCAAATGGGACACACCAGAGCAGTGGGTAACCACGAGATTCATCAGAAAATTGGCAATATGACCACGTAACAGCAGACTGGGTATGTACACAAGATGATCAAATTAAACACTTTCAGACTGTATTTAATCTCATATTTCCGAACCTCTGAGCAAGGAGCTTTCAATCACATTTCTTTAGGTTTGTTTTCCATCTGTGGTCGCTTTAAAACCGGTCAACAACCTGGAGTTACCAGCTTTTCCCAGCACTGCATTATTAAATGTAAAACTGCACATACTGAAGGCTCAGATTCAGGAACCACCAAATGTTATCAGTTTGAATAATCTGCATCATCTATTTGAAAAGGCAACAATTCAGTGTCACCCTGCAGTTCCTGCATGTGTTAGAAGCCAGACCTAGAACTAAAAATACATATGGCATGCAAAGGTACATTCCTGTTCTGTCTGTGCCTACCCAGGAGAAGGAAACATCTTGCTGACCTGCCAAAACACTGTTTTTCTTAAGCAGGTTTTTTTTAAAGTAGTGCAGTTGAACAGGGCTTATCGAATCGATCAAAAACAGAGCAAAGCAATGTATCCATGATGCCCTGTATAGATTTTTAAACAGTCCATAAGCATAAATATCGGTCTTACTTTTCCTTAGCTGATAAACTATGGCAAACAGACCTCTTTCCTCTGATACCTCTGGGATCGGCTCAAATTGCATTTAACGCAGAAGTGAACGTTTTTAATCACATCAATATTTTAAAGAAGTTTATGCAGTAATGAGATGCAATGTCATACTCCAGCCATCTAACCAAGCCCTAATTGGTAATGACTTTATTGACAGGCATTGACTGAAGCTGTGACATCCCTTTCAGTGCCTGACGAAAAATATAGGATCTATCATGACTAAAACAATACACAACATTTACTTAAAGGATAGGTTTTGGTTCCTGGACGTCTGCAGCTCCCGTTCACTGGCTTTAAATTCAGTGAGTGCTTGATATCTCTAGAAGTCAAGGCCTAAATAGTTCAAAATCAATCAATCCAGAGGGAAGAAGGGAAAGTGGTGTCAATGTTCAGCTAGAGATTTTGAATTCATAGTGGCTCTGGACAGATTTTCACTCCTATCCCTCCCCATCTCCTTTCACCACCAGTTTCATATAGATTATAGCTTGGCAGAGTCATGAAAACTGTTTTTGCAGAAGGGGGAAACAAAAACACTCTCATATCAAGAACAGAGTTGTTTAAAAAGAGACATCCAGCTGCTGAAAGCACATAGTTCATAAAGTTTACAAATCCATTCAACAAACTGGAGCTTTAATCTTTGTATATTTTGACTAAGAACAGTCTGGGAGCATTATACAAATGGGGAATTAATGCAGAGCTGAGCAGTTCTTGAATGGGATGGAAGGATGGGGAACATGAGCCAGGGCATGTAAACAGCTTTTCTTTATGCTAAACAAAGTCCACACTCACAGGTGCAAACTGAGACTGTCCAACCATGAAAAGACAGAGTTGAAGGGAATTTGTCTGCTACTGCTGAGGTTGCCATCCTGGACTGAAAAATGTTTATACTGAAGGGCCTGCAGTCCAAGGAAATAAAAGCTGAATGCACTGATACAGCACTGCATGGCTGAAAAAAAAATACCTACAAGACAGAATAGTTTCCAAACATGGCAAAAACATGCCTGGTTTGGATACAGTGCTCACCAAATCTGTTAAGAAGGAGAAATGCCCACCAAACCTGCCACACAGTATATTAGAGGGTATTTTTTAGGGCTCAGATTTGAGCTGTGGGACAACTACACCCCTCACCAACAGAATATCACTGTGTCTGCACAGTTGTCTTGAGCAAAGGGAAGGACCAGCAGTGACAGTGCTGAGAAACAAGGTTTTGGCCATGGAAGCAAAGGCAGGGAAGCGGGAGGGTTCATGGAGCCTCCTGGTCGACACCTTGAAGAACAAAGTTGGTGCAGAGTGACTAACTATGGAACAGTGAGGGCAAGACAACCTTAGAGAAATTAGCACCCAGTCTGGGAATCAATCCACAGCTTGTACAGTGAGCACAGCATGATCTACACTGCATTGCCTTTGATCCAAGGAGGGGAAGAGCCCTGAACTCTCAGGGAATCAGATCTCAACTCTTCCCCCAAGCTGTGGATATTTTTTCTGCTTGATTTATACTGACTTCAGAGACCTGTCAGGGAAGAATATCACACTCACCCATCAGCAAAGAGCACAAAAAGACATGCTAACACTGAGAATTAAATTCAGTAAGATTGACAGCTTAATCTTTGTATCTTAAATGTCAAGAACTGGTACGGCAGAGATTCCAGGCAATGACCACATAGCATTGCC